ATTAATTTAGCTCTTGAAATTGACTTCTGAGGGAGGGTGGATGAACTGATCCTGGCTTGGTGAGACACAGGTTTTGACCCATATGTTCAGTAACACTGACTCTGATCATGTGCTCTCTGGAACCCACTCAAGTTTTGGCAACTTTCTCTCTGTCCCCTTGGCTACATTTTCTTCTCTCCCAAATGTTATTTTCTTGACATGAGAGAGGAAGAAGAAGACTTATTTTTGCCTTTCTTCATGATTCTCTTCAACTTCATTCAACTCTTCATCTCACAATATCTGTAGGTGACCCAATAGGAACTTCATTTAGTCCCCACCTCTATCTCATATGCAATACAATAAAATGTTTAAGAGCCCAGGTCCAAAGAATCAAAGAGGCCTATGCTCCAAGCTCTGATAAATTTCTTAGTCTTCCCAAACTCATTTCTTCTCCATAATGGACAGAGTAATCAAATCTTCCCTGTGGACGTAGACAATGCCTTACAATGAAACAATGCATGAGAGCCCTGAGACCAGTTCTGGATATAATAAGTACTTGGTAAGTGTCTTATTAGCATCAACTTCCAAAATTACATCTTGGCCTTGAACTACTCTTAGAAGACAATATACAAGAAAAATTGGCATTCCAGCAAGCTTTTGCTCAATACTTAGCCTGTGAGTCATCACAGTAATTATTTTGATCAGGAAGAAGAGCCAGTGATTAAAGGCACACATCCCTGCCCCACAACCGACACCAAACTAAAAAGCTTGTGTACAACAAAGAAAACAAATGGTAGAAAATTTTGACCCACTATTATATGATGACAGATGGGCATCTAAAGTAAAAGGAATTTTAAAAAAACTCAATAGCAAATATAGGGTGATCTGTGTATACACTTCTTAAAGAAGGGTCTATCCATTTCCACAAGTATGGGAAAATGTTCATTACTATTCAAGGAAACACAGATCCAGACCCAGTAAAATCTTACCTCACTTCAGCTGGGATCAACATACTGTTGGTGGGGCCAGTAACTATGTATCATGGAAAATGCTATAGAGATTTCTTAAAGGATAAAAATAGAATAGCATGTGATCCAGGGATCCAGGGATACTTATATACAGAAAGAAAACACAATCAGTGTTTCAAAGAGTTACTTATGTTCCCATAGCAGTCAAGAAACAGAGTCAGTCATGGGCAGAAAATTGAAAAAAGTAGTACTGTGATACTAAAGGAGGCCAGCATGCACTTTGGTATGCTAACAGGCACCACAGATAGTCATTTGTCCCTCCTGTGTTTTGGAATTTTGGGAAATGGAGTTTCTTTTGGATCTGACACCAGCTCCATCCCAAATGGATGACATGGCTGCATTCACAGGGAAGAAAGTAAGCACTGATCTGTATCCTGTTGATCCTGTTGCTGTTTCCTGAATAGCACAGTGGCCTTTGCAATATGTCCCATGTGTCCTCTCACATTTTATGTAAGTGGGGCGGGACAGGGGTGCTGTTTGATATCATATCCCAGCGCTGGTGTTTGCAAAGTTAGACCATTCCAATTTGAAAAGATTAGCTCTGATAAAACTGACGCAGGCTGGCTTTCTGTGTGATGGCCTCAATTTCAAGCTGATCCATCATGGATGATTACAGTAAAATAGGATTTGGCAGAACAAACGTAGGAGTTTTGAATTCTTACCTGCCATTTCCTGCTGTGGGAGAGAATAACAGAAAACAAACAGCAACGATAGTCAGTAGTAGCAGTGAAAACACACTGACTTTCCTCCTTGCATTTTTATGCTCCCTGGAATTCAACAACCCAGTTTCCCCAAAAACCTAATAAGCTCTCTGACATCAATTACAAGTGCTACAAACCTTCTCCTTTGGTCTTAAGTGCTGGAAAGCTGGGGAAAAGGGGTACAAGAGTAATCTGTGTGAATAATTTTTTTTAGGCTGAATACTTCCATATCCAGGCCCCCCTCTTCATGTCTTCTGTGGACACACATGTGACTTATGGGTTTAAGTACTTGTGCACTCGTGCCTATGAAGTTCAAAGCAGGAGGATGACTGTTGTTCTGTTGCTCCCCACTTTGTTTCCTTGAGACAGGGTCCCTCACTGGACAGGAAGCCCATTGGCTCTGCCAGGCTGCCTGGTTGGCCAGCTAGCTGTCAGATCTGCCTGTCTCTATTCCTCCTCCAATCCTGGGAGTTACAGCAACTCTTGGAGATTTGAACTCGGGTCCTCATGCTTGCAGAGTAGATGTCCTTATCCACTCAGCCATCTCACTGCTCTCTGCTTGTTTTTTAAATATGTGTTATTTTTATTATAGGATCTTTACTGTGTTCTTCTTGTATGCTCTTCTCTGCTCTGGTTTCTGCACTGCTTTTACTTTTTAGACTGTTTGCTTTTTTTTTTTTTTCCTCTTCCACCTCCCCAGCCCACCTCCTATTCCTGATATTTGTCAGGATTTCCCCCCTTTCTCATGGGATATGCATTCTGAAGATGAACTGCTTGCTGGATACTGATGATTCCCCAAGAGTGTAGTATCTCTGGCTGTACTCTTTTTCACAAAATTGATTCAGATTTAGATAGATCAACTGGTTAATGGCACGTACAAGGTGTGTGTGTCCCACTGGTACAGTAAATATAGTGCCTGTGACTGTGTCTCATAACCCGTTTCCCTCTAAAATCCACCTCTGTCCTTCCCTCTTCGGAGTCTTTGTCAATAGTTATCTAGTAGCCATGTGTCTCCAGTGGGAATTTGGAGTTACTTAAGGCTCTTACTTCTCTGTAGCTCACATTTAATATCCATATTCAATTTTTCCTATCTTCCATTAAACAGTTTTGTAATCTGTCTCTTATCTTTTCTGTCTACCAGCACAGGACTTCAGACCCAGAATCAGAAAAGGTGCCCCTGGGCTGTTCCCTTGTCCTAATTAGGCCCCATCCAGCACGAACATCTCTGTGACTTTTAATGGCCTGAGAAGCCAGTGGAGTTAAAATAAAGCCCTCCACAACTAGGTCAGGCACACAAGGTAATCTCTGGCTACTCCACCCAGTCCCTCACAGTTGTCTGCATGTCAACATGGGCACCATGCTGTTTTGTGTCTCCATGGCTTGGCTGATTGTGTTCCATCTGTCTGAGACACCCCATTGCCATTCCTTGCCCAATTAGTTCTTGCACAGCCATACTTCCTCTGAGCTGTCAATTTGACAAACAGTTATTGAATACCAGGTATATGCTAGGTCGTGTTGAACATACAGAAAGGGACTCTGTAGGGTGTGTTCTCATCGATGAACCTTGACCTTTGAGCTGAGTGTCTTGCCTAGGCCTGCCTTCCCCAGAAGTCTGTGCACATCCATCATTGCCATTGGTCTTTTAGGCTAACACAATCTTCTGGCTTCTGGCCTCTGGTCTCTGGCACACATTATCAGTGTCCTAAGGAGCATAAAGTCTATGGTGCAGTCATCTTGGCATTTTAAGCAGTTGGTGCTTAGGGCTTGAGAATTCCTGGAAGAAAGTTCCCTTAGACCTCAGCTATTGGTTATGAATTTTTTTGTTTCAGCTTCAATGTCTCCTTTCACAGAAGCTTTTCTGACCCTTCAGAACAGTCTACATCTTCATGATTCACCCTGAGATATCCTTCATTCATTCTTCATGTATGTGATTGTTTTTAATCAACCTTCCACATTAATGATGAGGTGTCTCAAAGAGAGCTTGACACTTGTGTGACCATCACAGAGTGGACTTCCAGATTCCTAAACAGTGTAGCTTACTGCATGCATGCCTCAGTTATATGATATGTGCACACCCATGTGTCCATGTAAATGGTACATAAATGATATTTATGTACCTATGGTATGGATATGCATGTGTACGCATGCACATGCTCACGCATGCGCACACACACACACACACACACACACACACACACACACACCACAGTATAGTCTATGAGAAAGAAAACAGGATATCAAATCAAACACACGATGGTAAGCACAAGATGTATGAGGCTGCTGTTAGAGAAACAGAATGTGTTGTATTAGAGTAAATATATTTTTTTTCTTTCTTTTTTTGTTTTTTGTTTTTTTTTGTTTTTCGAGACAGGGTTTCTCTGTATTGTTTTGGAGCCTGTCCTGGAACTTGGTTGGTAGACCAGGCTGGCCTCGAACTCACAGAGATCAGCCCACCTCTGCCTCCTGAGTGCTGGGATTAAAGGCATGTGCCACCAACGCCCTCATAAATATATTTTTCTAAGTAGGAAGCCTATACTCTAATGAGAAAAGGTATAGGACAGTGAGTAGCCAGCCCATGGCAGCCATCAGCTATCAAGTACAGAATTGCCTTTGCTGTAAACTCTTATGTGTTGCAGTACATTTACAGCAAGCAGGTTAGCATGTGTGCATGTCTACACACGCCTCCCATCCTCCCAATTGTACACACACTAAATAAAGTATAACTTTTAAGATGTTTTAAAGGTTGGAGAGATGACTCAGTGGCTAAAACCTCTTGCTGCTCTTGCAGAGAACCCACGTTTAGTTCTCGGAACCCATACCTGACAGCTCAAAATGGCCTGGAACTCCAATTCTAGGGTATATGATGCCTTATTCTGGTTTCCATGGGTTCCAGATACAGATATTATACACACACATACATGAAGGTATTCACACATACATACATGCAGGCATTCACACATAAGATAAAAATAAAGCCCTTTTTAAAAAGTTGTAATAATTACAAAAAAAAGAAAAGAAAACTGAAGCCAAATGCTTATTCTCTGGGTCACCTTTGAGCCATCTGCCAAGTGCAGATGTTCTGTTCCTCTGGGGTCATGCTGGAGAACAGTGGGTATTGGAGGAGAGCCATGTCAAAGCAAATCTGCATAGATCATTTATACAAACAGAAAGATGGTGTTGCAGAATTAAATATAACATCTGACTTAGCAGGTGGTTTTGGAGACCTATTTCAGTACGTACTTTTAATTCTCCCACAGCAAGTCTAACTATCTTCCACTCTTTGCCTCCCCAGAATTAAAGACGAGCAAGCCTTCGGCGAGAAGGGTCAAATCAAGTCAGGTAAAAGATCTATGAAGTACTGGAAGCATTTGACTTTGATTTTAGAAATTGCCAATAGAAGTTTTCACAGATGGACTTGGGGAAATAGAATATTGCTAAATGGCAAATGCATAGTAACTATTATGAAGTGGTCAAAGATTTGTGAACTTGTACTCTTGGCAGAAGTACTATTGATTGTTACTTCAACATGCACAGACACTCTGAAAGCAAAAAGAAAAATATTTACGAAAACATGCAAAAATCATTACATGTCCCTTGTTTGAAGCTCAGTGCTATTGATGCAACTACGGCACTAGCATCTGCCTCCACTGTTGCTCTTGTTTTTTTGAGGTTTCCTTTTATTTTTGTTTATTGCAAAAATGGTTAAAGTAGCTTCAAGTAAAAAACATTAGGCATCACAGATGTCTGCGAAGGCAGTCCTTCCTTGGAGACAGTCGTGTCTTTGCTTCTGTTTCTGGCTGATTCTTGTCTTCTGTGTGCTGGAGAATGTGACAGGAAGGAAGGGAGGAGTTGAGCTGGCCCAAGGGAAGTGGGAGTGTCCTCATAAGATGACTGAATGCCTGGCTCAGAGCAACAGCCCTTTAAATTCCTAAAAGTTTACACTGAGATAGTTTTAAAAATACGTATTAATTTTAAAACCAAAGATAGCAAAGTCACTACATAGCCACACACGTAGTATATGTTTTTATAAAAGCTGACAACATCTTTCCAAGTGAAAACGAAATCAATGGGGAAGATGGTAGTCACATTTTGGCAAATCTAATTTGTGGGGCTTATTGGTGTTTAGTTACTCTTGTGTTTGATGTGAATTGTCAAGTTGACAGAATGCAGAATCACCTGTGAGACAGGTCTCTAGGTGTACCTGTCAGGGATTATGTTCCTTATATCAACTGAGGTGGGGAGACGCACCCACTGTGAGTGGCGTCATCCCTATTACAGTCCTGGGCTGTGTAAGTGGAGAAAAGGAGCAGAGAGGCAATGTTTTCTGCTCCCAGGGTGTGGATATGATGCAACCAGCTGCTTCAAGCTTTGGCCACCTTAATTTCCCTGAAACTGTGAGCCAGAAGAAACCCTTTCTCCTTTAAGCTGCTTCTTAAAGATCATTTATTACAGGACCAGGAAAAGAAATGAAGACAGTTAGCTTTGTTGCTGTTGTTGCCCTGCCAGCATGCCAAAAAGAAACAACTTAGAGGATGAGAACGCCTTCCTGCTCAGGGTTGAGATGTTTCCTTTCATAATGGCATAGAGAACATCGTGGAGCTGAACAGCTCATATCTTGGCAGCCAAGAGGCAGAGAGAGAGAGAGAGAGAGAGAGAGAGAGAGAGAGAGAGAGAGAGAGAGAGGAGGGGGAATGGAGAGGGAGAAAGAGAGGGGGAAGAAGAGAGATTGTCTGTGTTCTTGGTTTCTTTCCCTCTTCCTCATCTAGCTCCCCAGTCAGGGCAGGTTTTCCCAGTTTAGTTAATCCTGTTTGGAAACATTCTCAGGGACACACCCAGAGGTGTGCTTCTCAAATCTCCTAGGTGCCCTTCACTACGATGAAGTTCCTAAGATTAACTATCACAAGGAGACAGAGATGGCTCTCGTGCCTGCTCTCATGATCTGTGTGATGAGCAATGAGTGAGGCTGCTTGGTGGCATCATGTATCTGTCTCCCTTGGGAAATGGCACTGCAAGTGCTCATGAAAGAACAAGGATGGAAGGGGCCAATCAAGTCTCCTGGAAACATTTTGATGTGCTAGGCTCCCAGGCCAAACCTTCAGAACCACCCTGATAGAAAATTTGAAACTGAGCTTCGTCTTCCCTTTTATTTTGTTGTCTAGAAGCTTGAGTCAGCCATGAAAAGAAGTACACAGGGAGAGCCAAAAGGCTTTAACCTGTGCCCAGCAAAGAGATTTGACAGTGGAAAACACAGCTCACAACATAGTTATTATTATTTTTTTAATCTCCTAATGTTTGAGTGCAATAACCCAAGATGCCTGACGTCTAAGATGTAGACTAATATGGGGGTAAAAATGCTTTGGGTTTTTAATGGGAAAGTTGCACCTCATTTAGAACTTTGAGTTTGTTTTGACTTGGAGACATATCAGGCAGAATATCATGAGCAGTAATAAAATCTTTGGTGACTGGAAGGCATCCTTGGGGTGAGAGGTGTCCCATGGTACCCTCCAGAGATGATGGCATTCAGCAGTGAGGGACCAATCACCTTGCTTGTATCTTGACAGACCAATAGACAGACCAACATCTTGATCATTGCTTGCTGCGTGGGGTTTGTGCTGATGGTGTCACTGTTTCTGTTATTTCTTCTTCGAGGTAAGGTGGGCAGGGCCAGATGTGATAGACCTGCAGGGAGGGATATTTTCGGGTAGAATGCAGAGCTGCGGTGGCTCAGGGGTGTCAAGAGAGGAGGGATATTTCCGTTTCCTCCTCTTTCCTTTTATGCCCACAAAGGATCAGTTTCTCACTGTCCTCACCCCAGCCATGGGGGTGACAGGTAAACTTATCACCATCAATTGGCTTTGTGTATTGTCCTCATGGTAAAGCTGACACTTTTGATAATGAAAAAATGAGACCAAGAGCACTTCATTGATAGGACAGATACCATACACAAGTTGTGCCTAATTTGTTCTGTCTTTGTTATCGACTTGTGTTGAAAGGACTGTTGTACTGTTGTTACATCTCTCTCTCTCTCTCTCTCTCTCTCTCTCTCTCTCTCTCTCTCTCTCTCTCTCTCTTTCTGTCTCTCTCAGTTCTTTTGAGGCAAGGTTTCTCTTTATAGACCAGGCTGGCCTCCAACTCAGAAATCCTTCTGCCTCTGTCTCCTGAGTACTGGAATAAAGGGATGTGTTTTCACTGCCCAGCTATTCTTTCTGTGAAATCAATTATTTATTTTTATATGTGGAGGTGTTTTACTTGCATATATATCTGCATACCATATTGTGCCTGGTACCCATGGAAACAGGAAGAGGGCAGCAGATCCCATGAAACAGGAGTTACAAACAATTGTGTACTGCCATGTCTGTGCTGGGAATTGAACCTGGATCCTCTGGAAGAATATTCTGTGCTCGTAACCACTGACCCATCTTTCTAGCCCTGATACTGCTTTCTTACAGTTGGAAACACCCCTGGATCCCTGTCTTATATTTTCAAGGAGTGTCACAGGAGTAGCCTTTAAAGCAGGCTTGCTTAGGGACCACAGATAGCCTTTGGGAGAGAAAAGCCTTGGAAATGGTTTGCAAATACGTTCATGTGTTCAAGCCTACATTTTTTTTTTTTCAGGGAACAGGACCCAACGTTTTCATAAAATTCTGAAGTTGACCTATGATTTATACCTTCCCTACCTCAAAAGGAAAAACTATAAATCCTGTAAAAGGAAGCTATGAAATAAGCATTATGGTTTTCATATAAAGTACAGACACACAGCACCCAGTACTGATATAAAACAGAGTAAAATTAATGCTTCATTGCTGCCAGCCATAGATGAGATTATTCACCATTGAACCTGTCCTCAGAGAGTGCTGTAAAAACTATCTAGAACTTCTTAGTTGCTTGCTGTTAGCACTTACATGAAGCCATAGCTGCTGTTTTGGATGATTCTTGGTATATCTCATAAAAGTGCATTTAAACAGAAATGAGGTGCTGGGGATATAGGTTAATCAGTAAAGTTCTTGCCACTCAAGCATGAGGACCCAAGTTTGATTCTCAGAACCCATGCAAAAAGGCCAAGAATTATAGCTTTTGCTTGTAATCACAGTGCTGGGGAGGCTGGCATAGCTGGATCTCTGAGGCTCTCTAGCCAGCCAGCCTAGATCACCAGCAAAGTCTGGGCCAGGAACAGACTCTTTCTCAAAGACAAGGTGGGCAATGTCTGAGGAACAAAAAAATTGAGGTGTGGCTTCCACATGCATGTACATAGATGTGTACAGGTGTCCACATACAAATATAAGCCTGCACATGTATGAATATTCACAGACATGCACACACACACACCAAATCAGATGAGTCCTTATAATGTGGGGTACTAAATAACTCAAAAATGCAATAGCTTATACCCTTAGAGAAGGGCATTGCTCAGCCCTCATCAGAGAAGCTTCTTCATGCAGTAGATGGCAAATAACAAAGAGATCAACTGGACAATGTGCAGAAGTGACAGACTTTGGAGTACTCAGTCCAAAGAGAGATGGCTATCAAACCCCTCCTCTCAAGGCTCAGGGCTCCATTTGGAAGAGGAGGCAGGAAGATTACAAGAGCCAGAGGTGGTGGATGATTCCATGGAAACAGAGTCTTCCAGACTCAACAGAGCTGATGCACATACAAAGTTACAGGGACTGTGACAGTGTGCACAGAGCCTATGACAACATCCCAACACTGAGAAGGCAAGTAGAACGAAGCTCCATTCTTAACCCAGAAGCTTTTGCAATTGATACCTGCTGGGAAAATCCATTTTCTCCAATGGAGTGTCACTGGATATATCAACCACACTCTAAGACAGGCCCCATGCCCAGGAATAGCTGCCCAACACAAATGAATTCCATGCTTTCCTTCCTTCCTTCCTTCCTTCCTTCCTTCCTTCCTTCCTT